TTGGTAGCAGTTCAGAAACGTTGCGGAATTACGAAATAAATCGCGTCCATCTCAGCCACCGGAAGCTACCCCATTTTCCGTCTATATTCCGTGTGTCTCAAAGCTGTCCTCCGGCGCGTGCGAGACACCGTGTTGAGGGACCTTGAGGCGAGGGCGGCGAGGGCCTCGTGGCCGGTCATCCTTCGCGGTGACCTTTGAGCTCGCGGCCGCGCGACAGGCGCTTAGGGAGCTCAAAGGGCGGACGCGCGGTGGCCAGTGGGGCGCCCGCCCGCCCGCACGCACGCACGCACGCCCGCACGCGTCGGCAGGCGGGGGCGGCGCAGGACCTGGTGGTCTGGCCGAAAAGAGCTGGCGGGCGAGCCCGCGGGTGTGGTAGACTCGCGGCGCAGTATGGGTGGCCCAACGCATTCAACATTTACTTTCGGCTGCGCCAGCCCAGCCCCGCCCCTCCCAGCTCTGCTTCGCTCCGTCACAGCCACTTCCACACACCACTCCCGGCGCAGACGCCGAGACTTCCGTCGGGCTATTGCCAACCCTGTGATTCTGCGCCTTCGTCCACTGTTCTTACCGGCTGTGTTTAGCTCAGGGTCGGCATTGCCGAGGCCTTTTCATCGTGATTCCGTCCCAGGGTTCGGTCCCAGGGTTCGATTCCCAAGGGTGGCGGATTTTCAATACTTGCTACGTAATACGTTGAATTGTCTCGCTGTTTGGAGAATTCTAGCGACCGGCAGTTCTGATTGGCAATTTTCCGTGATATCTTCCAGGAACACCAGGTGAATCCCAGAGCAATACCCTAAAAATTGGGCTCGCTTTCTTTTCATATATCTCTCCCCCTTACACATACAAGCACGATCCTACTACACCTGTCGAGAGGTCAGTCCGAAGCTTAGCGCTTGTCCCGGCTTGTCGCGAGAAGAGACACTTTTTTCCCAGCTATCTGACGAGTAGGTTGGTTGCGAATCTCACTATCCAACACGGAGGAACACCGCCACTTCCCGGGTAAAGAAGATCATTACACTAACGGGAATAACGCTCTAGAAGTTGACATGTTCGAAAACATCACTGCTCGACTCACGTGCCAGTAGAAAAAAAGGCGAAATAATACACATGAATCAAATATATTATTGAGTTAATTTCAATTTTTCAGGCCAATATAATTGATTGAGCTGTTCGCCAATGCCGCGTACGCTAAGAGTATGTTTATGAAAAAGACGCAGAGTATTTAATTATTGTCGATTATCTAATACGTTTTACAAGAATCTTCACACGTGACAGATCTCCCCCATTTATTTTCGGCTACGCCTGGCACGCCCCGCTCCGCCCAGCCCAGCCCAGCCCCGCTCCTCCACAGCCGCTTCCACACAGCCCGCCCTATGTGCACCAGACATCACTCTAGCACTGTTGTCCACAGTGACTTTTACCCACATGCAACTAAAAGAAACTGAGAATATAATTTACTTGAATGAAATTTTTAATTGCTTGAACTTAATTTTTTTCTGGTAATGTATCAGTTATTCCGCATGCCCATTCATTGACTATATTTTTGACAGGTTAATACATAGTACAAATAATTTGATAAAACTATTTACTTAGAGAGTAAATACTTGTCGTATTTTTGTGAAAAAGAATACAGAAGTATCCAAATTTTAATGATTACCAAGTATTTTTGAAAGAGTTGCCATGAAACGCGTCCAAATCCCATGGCTTGTTCGCCGGAATGTAATTTGTAGTCTGTGTAATTTGAACTTCCTTTATCAATTTTAAAATTATGTGCTACAGGTTCATGGCGTGAAGACATCGCGAAACCTTACCTATTCAATACAATTTTCATCGGTAAAAAAATTAATACGCCGTATTGTCTGCGGTGTAATGTGTAATTTAACAAAACAAATGTCGGCTTAAGGGAGAATAAAAATAAAAGGCTGTGAAACCTTTCGTATTTTCTGTGCATTGTCCGGTGGCTTTCAACGCGCACTTTAGTGGCTTTCCAGCCGCACATGTTGGCAAAGCCGACCCACCTCGGCGCCCAGGGTGTCCAACCTCGCGGCGAGACGCCAGGCCGCGCGGGCGCTGGAGCACCGGCCTCTGGGGAAGGGCGAGGCGACTGGTTTATTTTTCATTTGGCTTCTGTTTGTATTGGGGCGACGAGTGCCTTTCGGCGGGCGGCGTGCAAAGAGGAGGGCGGGGAGGGGGAGGGCAGGGGGGGAGAGGCGGGCGTGGCCTTGGGGAGGCGTAGCGAGGCCGTGCGCGGAGGGCGCGTTCTGCCTAATGCCAGCGTGTTTGCGCGGCTGTCGGCGCGCCGGAAGACAAAAGTGTTCCCTGGACGGCCGCCGCCGCGCCGCGGGCCCCGCTGGCTGCCCCGGCCCTGCGATTTGCATGCGAGCGGCCGCGCGACGCAGCGTCTGGGACCAGCTCCCCGCCGGGGACGGCTCTCGTCGTGACCTTCCACAGCCCCCCACTCCCCCTCCGCCAGAGGTTAGGCTGCTCCAGAAAGACTGCCAGCATACGGACTGGATTTTCCAACGCCTCGAAAAGCGTTCACTACCTGTGTGGTGTAATCCAATTTTTGAACAAAATTGAGATAATGCCTTATTACAATATAAATAACTTCACAAAAAATGAATCCTTGTTACGCATGTTTAAACCGACAGTAAATTACAAAAAAAGAGGTTATTTTCATACCAGTAAAATATAGTTAACTTAACTCCTGTGATCATCGAAGTATCCTGCACAACATAATTAACTAATGTTTCTTCGTTTTGCACAGGCCTTCAAACCGCACAGCAGATTGTCGACGAACTATGTTGTTCCCAAACAAACATAATCTTGTGCTTCCGTTTAGACAAATCGATAAGAAAACTGATAAGTATTAACGAAGATAAAATTTATTTTCTTCGGATGCAAATGACGTAAAACACAACTTTGTAAAGTAATGGAACAGAGTAGCGAAAAACAACGGACCTGAATCGAATCGGAGCGTGATGTTTTTCTCACAGACTCTCCAGTACCAAAGGTACGGGAACTGGGGATGGGTAGTTGAAGCTGGGCAGGTGGGCTGAGGCAGGGTAAGGTCGGGCAAGGTCCGTGAGAGTCCATGGCAGGGCAGATCAGAACAGGGTAAGGCGGGGCAGTACATTACACAAAGAATTCATGATATTTTTCCAGTCTAATAGAGGGCTGTGATTAATAAATAACCGGGCAACACAGAGAACCTCAGCTAGTAAATACTAGAAAATTATGAAATTATGATGTAATGTTAAGTACTCGTATTAATACACGAGTGTGATATTTCAATACGAGCAGGTATCATTACCTTCACACGAGTGCATTAATATCCATTACCCCCACAAAACTACTAAAAATAAAATAAATTAAAACTGACAACGATAATATAACATTAAATGTAATTTTAATGTACAAAATAGAACGAAACATTTACTAGAACGATTCTCAAGTATTAATTCAGTGCCAGTACTTAGTTTGTAAACTTTTGATTGGTGAAGACCTGTACCATAATGAATCTGTATCGTAATGACTTTTGCAACTGAGTGCAGTCATCAAATGACAGAATTTTACAATGGGAGTAGGAACATATAATTGTTACTGCCTGAAGGAAAAACGGGGAAGAGATCTGCTCGCTCCAGGAGAAAGAAAGAAAGAGAGAGGGAGGGAGAGAGAGGGAGGGAGAGAGAGGGAAGGAGAGAGAGGGAGGGAGAGGAGGGAGGGAGAGGAGGGAGAGAGAGAGGGAGAGAGAGGGAGAGAGAGGGAGAGAGAGGGGAGAGAGAGAGGGAGAGAGAGAGAGGCAGTGTGTCAGGGGAGAGTGGAGGAGAGACTCGCCCAAGCGCTTCCCGGAGCTCGTTAAGCGCGCTTCTCTTTTCGCAGCAGCGGGCGCGCTCGTGCGTGGGCGTGTGTGTGTGTGTCCGTGGGCGTGGGCGCGCAAACGCGACTGATCGTGCAGAACGCGGCGGTTCCGCGAGCCGGAGACACTCGTTACACTCATCACCACCCTCACCATTAAAATATTGATGGATTGACGTTCCGCGCTTTAGCGATAACACGATTTTTTGTAACGACAAAAACACGCAAAAAAATATAAAAGAAGATTTGTCGTTACAGAGAGTTCTTGGAAAGCTAAAATCAGAAAGTCCCAATTCGCGTTGCATGATTTACAAAGGAATTGTGTTTGAAAGTCCTTTGATAAAAAATGTTCCAAAAGCGTTGTTGCTGGTTTACATCGCGAAGTTTCTCGATAAACGATAATGCCGTTGATTAAAACTTCTTTTAGTTCCCATTTTCGGCGATTGGAGTTGGTGGAGAGAATTCTAGCATGTTACGTTCTACTTCTTGCATCATCAGAGCGAAAAACACCCGGTCTCTGTCACGTGTTTCGACTAGTTCCCATAATTTATTGAAAAAATATTGAGATGACTTCTTGTTTTGCTTCTGGGCATAATAGCTTGACGCACGTTGTTTTGAACGTTGTGAGGTGTTAGTGTAGAACTTGGTAATTTCGACAACAATACCATCCGAAAACCGTTCCCCATGTTGACGCGGTAGTGCTTTCATTCCTTCTCATGGGTCACGATGAAACGTAAGATTCGAAACATATAGCTCATTTGTTGATGCAAATAGTTTGTGTTTCTTGGGAGCAAATATGTCTTGTTAAGAAATTTTGCTAAAACTTTGATACCTTTATTCACAATGCAACTTAATAAGATAAAAAGTAATGGTATTTCTGTAACTCTAGAAAAAGTACATAGATTGTACTTCTCCCCATGCATTGTACGAAATTTTAATTGTTTTAACGTTAAATAAATAAATCAGGTAAGTAAATATAAAGATGCTGTGGCACTAAATGTAATCGTAATATTTTAAATTCGGAATTACATTTTCTAAGTTCGATGATGAAAATGGAAAATTAGTATCTGAAGGAGAAAAAGTAGAAAAAGTTAAAAATGTGGTCGAAATTTTTTTGTTTCTATGAATATTACTACATTCTTAGAAAAGAGCGAGGTAACATTTTCCATGCTTCTGAATTCCCTTTAAATAAATCGCTTGTGGTTCATATTGAACACGCCTCTATTTTTCAGACAATAAATTGAGGACTCAGGCAAGTCATTCCGCTCACGATGTAAAGAAAAATTACATTTCACTGATTTTTCCTATCTTGCACCGAGTCCGCAGCGCTGATTCACAAACACCAGATCTCGTCGCGAACAATAAAATAGCAAAGGCGTGCAGTGCTGGCTGGCATTGGGACGCAACGTCCCAGCTCCAATTCGCCGCCCCCTCGCCAGGAGCGCTGTGAGCACTGCGAGCGAGGAAAGAGGGTGGCCTTCAGAAATACAGCCCTCGCTGCAGGTATTGCTCCCGGGAGACTACGCCGCTCTGCAGCCAGCGCGCCGCTCCGAGGAGTCTGTAATTAAGAACAGCGCCAATGTTCTACAGGGCCACAAAATAGATCAAAAAATGGCCCTTCGAACGGGGAGTGATGTCAGTGTATTGGAGAGAGGCGCGCCGACCTGCTCGTGGAACTTTTCTCGCATGGGACATTGCGATAATATTTGGACTTCTTTTTTATATTTTTCTTTAGAAAACAGACGGCTAGTGCGCGCGGAATCTCTCAATGAGGAAAACTGCTGCAGTACGGTGTGGTTGTTCTAGCGTTCGAATGAGCATGTGTGTTGACATGTGTGTGAGAACAGCCAAACAGGTTTTTTTCCTTCATTGGTTCTGTGTATTCTATACATTTGTTCTCAGTTATTCATTTAGCCTTGCTGCATTAAAAGCGGCGAATTTGAAAAGAAAACAGAAAAAACACAACAAAAAGCAACAAAAATTCGCAACAACCTAACGGAAAATGTCCCTGCAAATTTATTCGTTCTGTCCGTTGAACTAACCGCGACGTTGTGATCTTGGTTTACTGTTTTTATCAGTTGTAGTTTGGGAACATTTATCCAATAAATATTCCTTTAATGAAAATACTAAAAATGGGTATAATACAAAATATGTACATCATGCCTTTCTTGTACAATTCTAAAAGTATTACTTCCATCACTTGTTTAGACTAAACTCAATTGTTTTCTCTCCAGGGGCCAACTTTAACGAAACTGTACCCCTTGCCTCCCTGGAATTCCATCCAATCCCTTAATTTCCACTCTAGTTCGCCAGGCCGGGACCCTACGTATTGATAACCCGCTGAAGTACTCATGACTCTTCGGAGCTACTTTCTTCATTATCGCCTAGGCACCGCTGTGATCCTTGGATTCTTAGCGGAATGATGGTTAATGATATCATAGAGGAGGAATTTATTGATAGAGCATATCAGTATGCTCCAACGTGCGCATTGGCAGAAGAAATGGCAGTTCCCCGAGAACACATGCTGTGAACTGGCTTTATCCACCATAATTTCACTTGGGGCTGCCTGGGATCGAACCCAAGCAGAGCGGTGAAACGACTATGCAACGGACCACTCCCGTAATTTGAGAAGTCATTCTTTAAACTCTCAAGAAGATGAAACGAGACGTTTGAAAAAATGTAATTTTGCACGATTTGATATAGGCTTAATTAAATTTTTCAACTAGTGTTGACATTTTCGATCTTTGCATATTATGTTTACAAACAATGTTAATATTTACTATATTTGTGCATTAATTTGCAATTAAAACATTTTAAATGAAGATTTGATTTCCACATCATTTTCCGAGCAGTACGCTGACCCGCACCTCACGAGTCATAACAAACAAATATAAACACTAATTAAAGCCTGCTGAGCCAAAATATACTACGGAATCTCACAATTTCTACCTTCAATAAAATACTAAGCAGAAGAAACAATGGAAATAAAATATTAAAATATAATCTGAATGTGTTTTCCCTCTAACATTTCGTGCATTAGGAAAACGTCAACAAAGCCTGCAATCATCAATATTTCCTGCTTATACTTTGTCTGAATGTTGAAGTTAAGATATTTTTGAAAAGAAAACTGCTATTGTACGAGAATCGTACGTATCAAGAATAGTATTTCCTCGAACCTGTCGTGACGGTTTAATCCTCCTAGTGCAAGACATGGATACTCAGGTTCCGACAGAATGCCAAAACCACGACATTCTGTATCCGAGGCGACTTAACTACCAAACTCCTCTCTTGCGGTTGGCGAAAACTGCAATCTCAACGCGAAGCACGAAAGTAAACCAAACTCTGGATTGCACGAGCTCCGAAAACAGTTATTTTCTCCGCGCCCTTTTGTGCAACCTCGGACAGTAGCGTGCACGCTCCCCCACCCCCCGCCTTCGCGCGGGCCCACCCCCCTCCCCCACTCTGCGTGCCAATATTCGCGCGAGAACCGCCTCCCGACGCCCAGTTTGCCCGCCGGTAGAGTGAATTGAATTCGGGAGAACTTTTATAAGACAATCCCGCCGGGTTACCGAGCGCCCGCGATGGCGTCGCGTAGCTCAAAATGAACCTATTCTCCCGTCGAGCACCGGATTTGCAAGAGCAGGTATTTTTTTTCGACCCTGAAAAGGGTGAGCGAAATATTCTTCCAGGGGCGGCTGTCCGCTTTAGGAAGTTTCTCCGCAGTTGTGCGTCTTATCTCAAAGAGAGGAAGAGGGAGGAGATGGAGAAGGCATAGGGGAGCAGAATGGAGAGCCACAGAAGGGGACGAGGCCAACGGAACCTGACTTGGGGAGGAGACACTCTTGAGTGTTTCAACGGTACCGGTTCACTTTTCCTCGTTGAATCAGTCTGATTTCTATATAGACTTTTCTCATTAAATAAGAAAACAAATGATCGTCAATTGGATTGCGGTAGAGTTCCTAAAAGCTTATTGGATCTGGTCTTCATTGAGCAGATAGTGTCTGAACTTTCCATATTTAAGCTATATCGTTATTGTTTCCTGGTAAAGCGATCTTCTTTGCCGAGAATATTTAGTTAGAAATTCGTAATATATTCATAGATAGTGGAAAATTGTAATGCAGAAAGTCTACTTAAAGGTGAGAAATTATGGAAAACACACATGACGAACATTGCCAGTAAAGATTGCGTGTGGTGTCAGATATGTTCAACGGGCTGGTATTTAGGAACTATTGTAATATATCTCCTAACAACTAAATTATTTTAGGAAATTAAAAACGAAAGAGCCAAATTTTTAAGAAAATTACGAATTTTTAATTTTCGAACATTTGTACAATCTTTTTTAAATGCTGAATTAATTGAAATTAAATAAACAGCATGTCCATACAAAAGGATTCTCCTTCCATTTAAATTCGATAACTTTCTTAAATTTCATTTTGTTCAAATATTGAATAATCCAAAGCCTCCCAAACGATTATTGAATAGAAGTTGATTGTATCTCAAACCTCACACTCAATTCCAATTAATAATCTCCAGGTGGTTGTCCTTATCACAAAGAACTTAACAACGTCACAATGAAGCGCAATGATCTGTCCAGCCAAAGTAGCGTTTGCGAGCCAATTTACTCCAACTGCCGGCGACGCTCAGCGGCGATACCGTTGTCCCTGAGTATTCTTCACGTGGAAATTCTATAGTTCCAGTCTCGATGGTGACAGACTTTAGGGACTGCTGAAAAGCTGGGTCGAATTCAGCCATTGTCTGTAGGAATATTTAGCAGACAATTGTTCTGATTGGTGGTTTTTCTATGGTGGTGTGATCGGTGATCGGCGGGGGTGATCGGCGGGGGGTGATCGGCGGCGGGGTGATCGGGGGTGATCGGTGATGCGTGTGCGTGATCGGCGGGGATGGCGGGGTATCGGAGTGATCGGCAGTGGTGATGGATCGGGGGGATGGCTACGAGTGGTATGTCTGGTTTTTGGTTTCTGGTTCAGGTGAATGCTAGAGCAGATACTAACAAATGGGCCAGGACTACTCCGAACTTTCCTTCTTCCTTGCCATAGCCTCTGCCTTACATAATACATATAGCATTCATACACACACTCACTCACACAAAGTTTCATGGACTCCACTACCACCCCTGTTGGGAGACCAGAAGGGAACGTAGAGCTCGTTTCGGCTGGGGATGGTGCTCCACCGGGGGGAAATACCTGGTTGTGGAAAAAACCGTAAACCGACAGGTATATTGGCGGTGGACATCTCTATTTCGTGCAAGGTCCTGACCCTTCCCGCGATAAAGGAGGGCCGGGGAAGTCCCGCAAGCCACGGTATGTCTCCTCGACAGGTCTCACGTTCCAGCGGAAGAGGAAGAAGAGGAGAGAAAAGAAAGGAGGAGGAGAAGGAGGAGGAGAAGGAGGAGGAGAAGGAGGAGGAAAGAGGAGGAGAAGGAGGAGGAGAAGGGAGGAGGAGAAGGAGGAGGAGAAGGAGGAGGAGAGGGAGGAGAGGAGGAGAAGGAGAAGGAGGAGAGAAGAAGGAGAAGGAGGAGAAGGAGAGGTGAAGGAGAAGGGAGAAAGAAGAGAAGGAGGAGGAAAGGCAGAGAGGAGGAGAAGGAGGAGGGGAGAAGGTGACGGGATCCTGTTACTAGCGGGATAACATTGAAGTATACTTACGGAACTAATGACCTAAGCTCTTGTCGCGTCCGGGAACCAGTGTCATTCACTCTTTCATTGGCGTTAGTCAGTCATCGATCGCGTGCTCAACAGAAGCGCCGCGCAAGCCATTGTGCGTACCCAGGCCTAGAGCTCATCTGCGGAAGCTCGGTCTCTGGCTGCTCGAATCGGGGGGAGGAACGGCGCTAGCGCGATCGGCTTCTAGTGTAGTGAAAGGCTCCGGGCAGCTACATCGGCCCAAGTCGTTTGCCCCAAATTCGGGTATATGTGATGTTGACGGGTGAATTTGTGAAAATTTGTAAGTTTAAGACTTCTCGGTCTCTCGACCACTACAATTCTCGAAAAAGATTGGAAAAAGGCTTGCAAAAACTCACGAAGCCAACAAAAACAAAAGAAAACGCGAATAAATAACCCCAATGCAAAACACAGACTCTGGCTGCCAAAATAGCAAAACTTCACGAAAGTAAAACTGTTGCTGGAATAGATTGCCCCGAACGCCACCGTCCTCTCCTCTACCTCCCCTCCCCGCGGTTTTCCATTCTCCCCAATGTGGACCTTCCCCAATCCTAAACCAATTATCTTCGCGACTTCTCTCATGTCCATTTTTTCCAGTTTTTCTGTTTACATTAATTATACCAATTAACCACTTTTTATTTCTTATTTGCTACTCACATCTTCACAAACAAGTGAACAAAATTAATTTATCTTTCTTCTCTCCTCTCCTTTCTCTCTCTCTCTCTTCTCTCTCTCTGTCTCTTCTCTCTCTTTTCTCTCCTCTTCATCTTTCTCTCTACGTCTTCCTTCTTCTCTCTCTTCTCTCTCTCTTCTCTCTCTCTCCTTTTCTCTCATTCTCTCTCTCCTCTCTCTTCTCTCCTCTTTCTCTCTCTCTTTCTTCTCCTCTTTCTCTCTTCTCTTTCTCTCTCTCATTTCTGTGATTATAACTACTTGAAATCCTTGGCAGGCTCGTTGCAAATATTTCTTGACCGCCATCCCTTTTTTCTCCGTTTTCTTTCTAAATTTGTTGTCTTCTACTGAGGAAAAGGAGATAAGAAAATAGAGAGAAAAGAGAAATAGAGATGAAAGGAGAAATAGAGAAAGAGATGAGAAAAGAGAAATAGAGAGGAAAGAGAAATAGAGAGGGAAAGAGCAAAATTAGAGAGGGAAAGAGAAATAGAGAGGGAAAGAGAAATAGAGAAGGGAAAGAGAAATAGAGAGGAAAAAGAGAAGAC